TCTCTCCTATAGAAGGAGCGAAAGTCAATGTCGAGAGCCATGGCTCAGTTTACCAACTAAACAAGAAAAAAACACCTATGAACTAAACGAGTTTTACACAAATTCGAGACAAACCGAATTATGAACGGCGACAAAGTTAACAATCTACAGCAAACTATACATAAGTCTTAGTTTCCATTCTATTTAATACCAACTCGGTTAGCGTGGGTATCAAAAGTCAGGAGACTAAGGCAACGCAACATGATGGATGCAAAGAAACCGACAAAAACGAAATGATTAGAAAATGAGGGGGCAGTTCAAAGATGCGTCGGGGGAAATTACATTACCTTCGATAACTTCTCGACACCCTTCGTGAATTTGAGTCCGAATAATGAGTTCCAACTAAGCCTACACATCTAGTACAGATTATCAGATGGACTCCAACGAGCGGAAACAGGTTGGAACACTTCATTTACAGTAATCATGAAAAAAAACAGCGAACCACACCCCAGGGTGATAGATGTAGACCTGAAGCGTGATCAATAGGGTCACGGAGTGATCAGACTTACGAACGAACTAAAGTAGAATCTGGAATAGAAGTGCATCGGTTCAAGGTCCATCACTTCACAGTAGTATGCCACGACGAAGTGGGTCGGAAAATCAATACTAGGTAGACAAATGTGTATTAGGACAGAGACGAAATAGGTATTGGTTGGCAAAACCTTTCAAGACTGAGGATGACAAAATGTTTGCATCTGCGCTAGTGCAGCCGGCTTTCTACCACGTTACCACGAGTTTCTAACTTAATTCTTATTGTTTGGAGGACTCTGACCACGCAGCCTACATCTATCCACAACAAGGACCTCGTAAACTGGTACTTTGTCATAGTCCGATCATCCCTAACCTGCTTACAACCCGATTACAAACCAAATCATCCGATGTTTTACTACTTGGGCTGACTTGTCCAGTTCACGTAGCACTCCATGCCTAAGCTCAACATTGCTTGCATGGTAATCCCTTTACAAGCGAGAAATCTACGAAGGCGCCTCGAATCGAAATCTGGAATTACTTCACATATTTTTCACCCACTATTTCTCACAGCCGCACGAAACAACAAACTGGACTACGGCATGAAAGAAATACTAAATAGCAGATAGTCAAACACCAACTTTTGGCCAGAGATGATGCAAGTTGACAAATGCCGAGTGGGCCTTTGTATCCAAGCTAATACTTCGTTGCTCATCAATCCTTAAATCCATCATCATATAGGTGAAGTGTTCAACACATCCCATGATACCACTCTTTTTCTTGAATTCGGTAAAGACGAAACTAAACACACCATATTACTTTTCGCGGGAAGACAAGACCAACATACGATCTTGTATTACTACGTAACGGTACATGTCGTCACACTTCATATCGTCAAGAGAGATGAAACAAAGACATTAGTCAAAAAGTGGTAGGAAGTCATCAAGAGAACAAGGAACGGAAAACACTTAGAATCAATATGACGATTAAGATGGAGTGATGTGTGGGGGTACCTTCATTACTGATGTAACCTAGCCTCCATCCTCTGGCTTTTTGTCACGCGAACCTCGACTGGGAAGTTGACATTTCCTCCTACAGTTCAGACCAGCAGTCTTACACTTAAAGGACTGATGCCATATTTAGTCCAGTAAAATATCACCTTTTCTAGCTTGAACATACTTCAGTAACACTATGCAGCGGGACAAAGGTTGAATATGTACGCGTTAAATATGTGCGGCCATCTACATTTCACAGGTGATCGCAGACAGACAACAGTCTATTAACTTTATGTTCATCTGGCCGACAATCTTAAATGGGCAGAATATGTACTGCAAAGTAAATAGCCAACAAAATGATGGGTTTTCTATTAAGCTTAAGCAGAAATGAGTCTGTCCAGCATGCGTCAAGCATCTGTCAAATGACTGTTCCACAACCACTCAATTTTTTGAAGAGGGTAGAGTGATGCAATGCCACAATGACTTGGCTTACCTGTTTGGAAAGAGGTATCGAGTCGAGTGAGGCGTTTACTGATAGAGATTCTCAGCTCAAATACGGAGTGCAATCTCAGCACTTATCACAACGTTACACCGTCAAGACATTCATCTACAATAAGGGGTGACTACAACCCACTGGGTCGTTTCATGCCTGCGAAGCATGTTCGCCGAGTGTAACTGACTACAGGTTTGCCAAAACAGGGATTTCCGCCTAAGTTTATTGGAATATACCCGTGAGAATAACTTCAAAGATAAGCAAAATGTCCGTAAGATCGGCAAATCAGTGGATGACTTTATGAGACTACGTTGACTAAGGCATACCCTACATGCTTCGTAAAAGGGAGGCCGACCTCATATTAGGAATCTAACAAAACTGGACACACAACGCAGGTAGAGACAATATGACCTGACCAAGCCCTTACAGAATTAAGTCTTTACTTGCCAATCATAGTCCACCGACATTGAAAAATGCAGCGGAGGGAGCATCCGAAACGAGATGCTACAAAGGTAACAGATACCTAGTACGTTAGCTAAAAAAAATGCCCACCGACAAATGCAACAAACCTTAACCTCAGTCCACCACTTCAGTACAATCTCGAAAATTAAACTAAAACACCGAATACAAACACAATTCAACAATACCTATAACCCCCGTGTGCCTCAAACCCGCAGTCATCGCATCAGCCCGCCATTCATGTCCTCCAGATGGGAACGTGGCAGATCGTATCAGGAATGCGTGATCTAAGCAAAGGACCCGTGCTGTAAACCCAAGGCAGATGGAATATAACAGCCGATAAGGGGAGGGGTCGGAATGGTCCTCAATTCTAGAATGACCAGCTGGGAGGTCATTGACGAAAGTTCGGGAACCAATATGCACGTGAGAACTCACCCTTCGCACCTGCGTCATCCGGTACCGGGGCAGGCAGTTACACCACCCCTCTGGGGCTTTCAAGGCCGGATCGGACACTACCTCCTCCGTGCCGAACATCGAGAGGAAAAGGTGAATGTGTCTTCCCCATTTGTGAGGACGGCAACTCTCGCCCGACCACAAGGGTTAACATCAGAGTTGGTTTCGAGAACACAGACACTGATTTCAGCAGCACAACTCATGCCCACGCGTCTGCAGGGATTGTTGACCTTTGAGTAGCCAAGACCATTCAGAGTGACTCCTACATTCTTTGAAGGTGTAGCGATCCCCTTCCGAATAAACAGATGACACTCACCTCAACACGTGGTCACACCCCAAAAGAGAAAACTGGAACTATGGTCACCTTCAAACCAATCACCACCAGGGTCAGGTTTCAAAGAAAATAATCCTCTCCCTTCTTCGGCGTAGACACCACACCTAACTGTAGCGAAGCTGCTCACAGCCTAGAGTAATCTTCATACAACTACCCAGTGCTGCATTCAGGGTGCTTTACGGGACTGGCAGCGATTCCGATTGTCAGAACTGAAATGCGGTCAACCCCTGGGACAGATGATTATGATCAGTAGATATGAGAAGCAGAGCTAGCATTGTGCACCCAGTCTGCATTACACGCTTATGGAAGCGACGTCAGAGGACGGGGCGGTCTGCATTAACCAGTGTCACGCAATATCCGCTCCTTTTCTCTCTTCAAATAAATCACACATTGAGGCAGTATCATTTGCTGTGATACACACAAGTGGAACTGCGATGGCGACATATCCTACCACAGCGGCTAAATTTAATTTTCATACTGATCAAGCGTGAGGTTGTGCAATGTCGCCATGGGAACCTGCTACAAGTTCATAACTAACGCATCACGCTGACCATGACTCCGTCGACTGACACGACTGCTTAGACTAGCCGTCACCAAAAAGCCAACTAGCGAGAGAAGTGTGAAACAGCAGCAGTTGGATCAGCATCAGAAGGTACCAACAGATGTGACAGTTTTCAACTCTATCCCGACAACCAGTGAGTTAGGATACCAAGTCATGGGACGACGAAGCGTTTCACCTTCAACACTAAACTCTTCTCAGTGCGACAGCACGCGGACAAGTGGGAAGGACTAAGTTCAGGCGCTTCGAACACTTGTACAGTGGTTATCACGGTGGATACTACTACTTCGGGCCTGCCCGTCTTCGAGATACTACGATTTCACAGCCCGTCCCACCAACTTGATGTCCTTACTCCGTCTTCCAGTGCAGGGAGATCAAGAGGCAAGTAGAAAGCCCACACGTCCATCTCATCACACACCACTACTCCCACAGATGCAACAGGGAGATGATCAGGTCTGTCTGATGTACTGAGCACTAGCTCGATGACGCTGACATGCAACAGTGGTCATGGAACGTGACATTCATTACCAACCATCTGCGTCACACCACACAAGTGCCTACACAGAACACAGCTGGACCTGTGCCACTAGCTGCCATCCTCCATGTCTCCTGGAAACTTGAAGATCCACCAGACCAACTACTTTTTGATAGCCTGCTTAGCCAGGCATCACATCTTCATTGTCTCAGTACATTCCCAAATTCTGGCCATTTATAAGTCCTTCCGGTAGTAAAAATGGTCACCTTCCACCTCCCCATTGTGAAAATATCTTGCGATTTAGCCAATTTCTTCCACGTCGCTCCCACAACTACCTTGATCATGCCGGGCAACAAACCCGAATTGGTACCCATAGGACCGCCTCGACTTTTGATGATAGGATCCGATTATCAACACCAGATACTACAATGTACCAACTATCGTTAAGTTGTCATGCGAGACGCAATTATTACTCTAGTGCGCCCTCCCTCCAGGTTCTGCAACTTCGGGGTGGCTGCTCAACAACCCATTACTCTTAAAGTAGTCTCCAACCAGGCTAGCACAAATCTCTCATAATACCCACCAGTTATTGGAGCTTCTACCATCCGTGTTGATGCTGCATCACCCAACGCAACTGGCTGTCATCAACTGAGATCTGACTCCACAGCGAATGATCAGAACGGTCAACCAACTAAAGGAACCATTCACATCCAGATGGAACTCACTCGAAATAAACGGCGAGCAGAAATGGCCACCCCTTGCACGTACCACACATTGCCACCGATGCGCCTGCAAACGTGTCGACAGCACTGTAGCCCAGCATGAAGCAACCCACTACGCAGTTTTGAAGCCCAATGTCGCCGTAACTGACGTCTAGCAAACATACTTCACAGCACTGATGTTTGTCACCCCACAGTAATACAACACAACTCATTAGTCCAGCCAGGAAATCAAAAACCACCAAACGAACGTAACGTGAAAAAGTTTATCAAGGAGCATAAATTCAGTGTTTAATGCATTCGCCAGTGATTGTGGAGAGAAACAGTGATTTCGGGCACTGAGTACTACGACGAAGTCCATCCCATACATCACATTCACGCCTCCACATTGCATCGACTTGCTATATGACCGTAGCCTTGACATTTATAGCACTGGGGACCAGAACCTCCACTCTCCGTGCAATCTCGTGCAATATGACCGTACTTATTACACCTAAATCAAAGTTACAATACATCACAGCGATTCAATACCTGTAGCATTTTGGGCCACCCCCGTCATTTCTTCTGTCATTATTATTTGGGCAGTTTCGAGATATGTGGCCCGACTCACCACAGTTGTAGCAATCACGTCCATTACCACCACCACCACCACCACCATTATAAGAGCCATCACCTTCTCGTCTTCCATTAGTACAATCTCGCGCATAGTGTCCCGTTCCACCACAGTTGAAACATATGTCTACAAGGTACAAACAAATACTTAGGCAAACTCAGTTGCAACACGGGAGTCTCAAAACAATCCACACTAATCACATTAACAACTCTGTTTTAAACATCCACAACTACACACTTCAATATACACGATGTCCAGACGTGCAAAGTATACGGACAATGCCTCAAACTCACCGTGGCCACCACCATAGCCCCCTCCGCCATACCCGTATCCACGACCATTAGTGCAGTCCCGAGCAATATGACCCGACCCACCGCAGTTGTAACAGCCGTCTACAAACACAAAAAACTAAGCGTGCGCAACTGAACCTTAGGCTACAAATCTACTACCAACGTCATATTCTAAGCCCTGATTTACCATTTACAAAGTGCTCACGTGTAAATTTAATACTGAATACTAAAAGCACTTTTCACTCACCTCGACGAGGTTCGTTGTAATCACGATCCCGTCCACCTCCGCCTCCACCACGGTAGCCACCACCACCGCCGCCTCCTCTACCACCTCTTTGGGCTGACTGGCAGTCACGAGCAAAGTGACCAGAACGCCCACACTTGAAACAATCACCCGACATTATGAATAGCCCGACAACCGACTGAACCTGCACAACCTCCTAACACTCGACTGACACCTTAACCGTGAACAGGAAACAATCCGACTTACAAGCGAATAAACAACAGTCCGATGTGGCAGCCAACTGAACATTGACCAATTCGCATAATGGAAATGAACAGCTTTCATAGTATGGTTCTTTGGTTGAAATAAGTTAGTTTACTTTTATTCAATGGGCCGGTAGCAGTTTCTGTGCGATGTACTTACCACCAAGGAGGGTACCCAGTATTTTGGACACCTTATAGTTTGTATTCACTTTGTTGGCGTAGCACAAATATCAGGACGTACTCAAGGGAAATACAATGACTAGCAACAATAAGGCGAGGAGTTTCTCGACATTCTTGCTTTCAATTTGAAGTGAGGTGTCTTGTCACTGCTGATGGAGGTGGGTGGGAACAACCCTGTCCAAGAAAAGACAGTGTGCAGACTAGAAAATGGCATTCTAGGTCAGCAAGGTTTGAGACGATTCCTCAGAAACTGTTACAAACTTTTGGAACTGTCTTTTGAGAGCCTTTGATATTGAGAATATATCATGTTCAATTGCCATTTCTTGGTTCAGCTTCGCTTATCACGTACTAGGAATGGACCGGATGGACGGGGATTTGCTAATACGTCCTATAAGATTGCTTTAAATAACCTTATAATCCCCTAATATGATAAGAACTGTCCATAAAACACGTTCGAACAGGTCAGAACCCTCGCTCAAGGATGCGAACCCAGAGTATGAGGGCGAACTGTGAAGGATCGCGGAAAACTGTTTATGATTAACCCAGATGTAGTGGTCAAACGATCGAGCGAACTGGCGCAATAGTGCTACTCTATTGTCTCTAGAAAGCGGGCAGCTCATGCTGGCTCTGGAGCCCAGAATGCTGACGATTGTAGCCTCTCGAGTCCCGTACTTTCGCCACGAAAATTTATGCTGAAGTACACCGACTGGTTTTATACCATATGTATACACTTCTTACACTCCCCTTCCAGCAGCAAGTCATCCGGTCAGACAATGCCAAGTGTAACCGCATATCAAGAGGCACTGGCGAAACCGGATGCTGTGATGTGTCTTCCAACAACATGACCTTGTGTCCTTAAACATCTCCGGTGCAAGCCAACCGCTGGTCGTTAGTGTTCATCTACTCAAATCACCTACATCCTTCGCACCCGTGTTGTGCCAGCGCGAGATACCATCTCAATGTTCAGCTTGGAGTGCGACTGGTAGTTGGGCAGCCGTGGAGCGACCGGGCTTCACGATGTGATTCGTCCATCGTTCTGGGCGTTCTTTCCTGAGAGTGAATCACAGACTCAGCTTTCTCACCCATGGTCTCACTAACATTCGGTCTCCTCACCCCAGTCTCCTTCACAAGTCTGAATAACTGTCAACTGCTACCTATTCCCACTGTTTGTCCAATCCCCTCAGTCGACGACGTCCACTGCCCCCCGCAGTCATCGCATCAGCCCGCCATTCATGTCCTCCAGATGGGAACGTGGCAGATCGTATCAGGAATGCGTGATCTAAGCAAAGGACCCGTGCTGTAAACCCAAGGCAGATGGAATATAACAGCCGATAAGGGGAGGGGTCGGAATGGTCCTCAATTCTAGAATGACCAGCTGGGAGGTCATTGACGAAAGTTCGGGAACCAATATGCACGTGAGAACTCACCCTTCGCACCTGCGTCATCCGGTACCGGGGCAGGCAGTTACACCACCCCTCTGGGGCTTTCAAGGCCGGATCGGACACTACCTCCTCCGTGCCGAACATCGAGAGGAAAAGGTGAATGTGTCTTCCCCATTTGTGAGGACGGCAACTCTCGCCCGACCACAAGGGTTAACATCAGAGTTGGTTTCGAGAACACAGACACTGATTTCAGCAGCACAACTCATGCCCACGCGTCTGCAGGGATTGTTGACCTTTGAGTAGCCAAGACCATTCAGAGTGACTCCTACATTCTTTGAAGGTGTAGCGATCCCCTTCCGAATAAACAGATGACACTCACCTCAACACGTGGTCACACCCCAAAAGAGAAAACTGGAACTATGGTCACCTTCAAACCAATCACCACCAGGGTCAGGTTTCAAAGAAAATAATCCTCTCCCTTCTTCGGCGTAGACACCACACCTAACTGTAGCGAAGCTGCTCACAGCCTAGAGTAATCTTCATACAACTACCCAGTGCTGCATTCAGGGTGCTTTACGGGACTGGCAGCGATTCCGATTGTCAGAACTGAAATGCGGTCAACCCCTGGGACAGGTGATTATGATCAGTAGATATGAGAAGCAGAGCTAGCATTGTGCACCCAGTCTGCATTACACGCTTATGGAAGCGACGTCAGAGGACGGGGCGGTCTGCATTAACCAGTGTCACGCAATATCCGCTCCTTTTCTCTCTTCAAATAAATCACACATTGAGGCAGTATCATTTGCTGTGATACACACAAGTGGAACTGCGATGGCGACATATCCTACCACAGCGGCTAAATTTAATTTTCATACTGATCAAGCGTGAGGTTGTGCAATGTCGCCATGGGAACCTGCTACAAGTTCATAACTAACGCATCACGCTGACCATGACTCCGTCGACTGACACGACTGCTTAGACTAGCCGTCACCAAAAAGCCAACTAGCGAGAGAAGTGTGAAACAGCAGCAGTTGGATCAGCATCAGAAGGTACCAACAGATGTGACAGTTTTCAACTCTATCCCGACAACCAGTGAGTTAGGATACCAAGTCATGGGACGACGAAGCGTTTCACCTTCAACACCAAACTCTTCTCAGTGCGACAGCACGCGGACAAGTGGGAAGGACTAAGTTCAGGCGCTTCGAACACTTGTACAGTGGTTATCACGGTGGATACTACTACTTCGGGCCTGCCCGTCTTCGAGATACTACGATTTCACAGCCCGTCCCACCAACTTGATGTCCTTACTCCGTCTTCCAGTGCAGGGAGATCAAGAGGCAAGTAGAAAGCCCACACGTCCATCTCATCACACACCACTACTCCCACAGATGCAACAGGGAGATGATCAGGTCTGTCTGATGTACTGAGCACTAGCTCGATGACGCTGACATGCAACAGTGGTCATGGAACGTGACATTCATTACCAACCATCTGCGTCACACCACACAAGTGCCTACACAGAACACAGCTGGACCTGTGCCACTAGCTGCCATCCTCCATGTCTCCTGGAAACTTGAAGATCCACCAGACCAACTACTTTTTGATAGCCTGCTTAGCCAGGCATCACATCTTCATTGTCTCAGTACATTCCCAAATTCTGGCCATTTATAAGTCCTTCCGGTAGTAAAAATGGTCACCTTCCACCTCCCCATTGTGAAAATATCTTGCGATTTAGCCAATTTCTTCCACGTCGCTCCCACAACTACCTTGATCATGCCGGGCAACAAACCCGAATTGGTACCCATAGGACCGCCTCGACTTTTGATGATAGGATCCGATTATCAACACCAGATACTACAATGTACCAACTATCGTTAAGTTGTCATGCGAGACGCAATTATTACTCTAGTGCGCCCTCCCTCCAGGTTCTGCAACTTCGGGGTGGCTGCTCAACAACCCATTACTCTTAAAGTAGTCTCCAACCAGGCTAGCACAAATCTCTCATAATACCCACCAGTTATTGGAGCTTCTACCATCCGTGTTGATGCTGCATCACCCAACGCAACTGGCTGTCATCAACTGAGATCTGACTCCACAGCGAATGATCAGAACGGTCAACCAACTAAAGGAACCATTCACATCCAGATGGAACTCACTCGAAATAAACGGCGAGCAGAAATGGCCACCCCTTGCACGTACCACACATTGCCACCGATGCGCCTGCAAACGTGTCGACAGCACTGTAGCCCAGCATGAAGCAACCCACTACGCAGTTTTGAAGCCCAATGTCGCCGTAACTGACGTCTAGCAAACATACTTCACAGCACTGATGTTTGTCACCCCACAGTAATACAACACAACTCATTAGTCCAGCCAGGAAATCAAAAACCACCAAACGAACGTAACGTGAAAAAGTTTATCAAGGAGCATAAATTCAGTGTTTAATGCATTCGCCAGTGGTTGTGGAGAGAAACAGTGATTTCGGGCACTGAGTACTACGACGAAGTCCATCCCATACATCACATTCACGCCTCCACATTGCATCGACTTGCTATATGACCGTAGCCTTGACATTTATAGCACTGGGGACCAGAACCTCCACTCTCCGTGCAATCTCGTGCAATATGACCGTACTTATTACACCTAAATCAAAGTTACAATACATCACAGCGATTCAATACCTGTAGCATTTTGGGCCACCCCCGTCATTTCTTCTGTCATTATTATTTGGGCAGTTTCGAGATATGTGGCCCGACTCACCACAGTTGTAGCAATCACGTCCATTACCACCACCACCACCACCACCATTATAAGAGCCATCACCTTCTCGTCTTCCATTAGTACAATCTCGCGCATAGTGTCCCGTTCCACCACAGTTGAAACATATGTCTACAAGGTACAAACAAATACTTAGGCAAACTCAGTTGCAACACGGGAGTCTCAAAACAATCCACACTAATCACATTAACAACTCTGTTTTAAACATCCACAACTACACACTTCAATATACACGATGTCCAGACGTGCAAAGTATACGGACAATGCCTCAAACTCACCGTGGCCACCACCATAGCCCCCTCCGCCATACCCGTATCCACGACCATTAGTGCAGTCCCGAGCAATATGACCCGACCCACCGCAGTTGTAACAGCCGTCTACAAACACAAAAAACTAAGCGTGCGCAACTGAACCTTAGGCTACAAATCTACTACCAACGTCATATTCTAAGCCCTGATTTACCATTTACAAAGTGCTCACGTGTAAATTTAATACTGAATACTAAAAGCACTTTTCACTCACCTCGACGAGGTTCGTTGTAATCACGATCCCGTCCACCTCCGCCTCCACCACGGTAGCCACCACCACCGCCGCCTCCTCTACCACCTCTTTGGGCTGACTGGCAGTCACGAGCAAAGTGACCAGAACGCCCACACTTGAAACAATCACCCGACATTATGAATAGCCCGACAACCGACTGAACCTGCACAACCTCCTAACACTCGACTGACACCTTAACCGTGAACAGGAAACAATCCGACTTACAAGCGAATAAACAACAGTCCGATGTGGCAGCCAACTGAACATTGACCAATTCGCATAATGGAAATGAACAGCTTTCATAGTATGGTTCTTTGGTTGAAATAAGTTAGTTTACTTTTATTCAATGGGCCGGTAGCAGTTTCTGTGCGATGTACTTACCACCAAGGAGGGTACCCAGTATTTTGGACACCTTATAGTTTGTATTCACTTTGTTGGCGTAGCACAAATATCAGGACGTACTCAAGGGAAATACAATGACTAGCAACAATAAGGCGAGGAGTTTCTCGACATTCTTGCTTTCAATTTGAAGTGAGGTGTCTTGTCACTGCTGATGGAGGTGGGTGGGAACAACCCTGTCCAAGAAAAGACAGTGTGCAGACTAGAAAATGGCATTCTAGGTCAGCAAGGTTTGAGACGATTCCTCAGAAACTGTTACAAACTTTTGGAACTGTCTTTTGAGAGCCTTTGATATTGAGAATATATCATGTTCAATTGCCATTTCTTGGTTCAGCTTCGCTTATCACGTACTAGGAATGGACCGGATGGACGGGGATTTGCTAATACGTCCTATAAGATTGCTTTAAATAACCTTATAATCCCCTAATATGATAAGAACTGTCCATAAAACACGTTCGAACAGGTCAGAACCCTCGCTCAAGGATGCGAACCCAGAGTATGAGGGCGAACTGTGAAGGATCGCGGAAAACTGTTTATGATTAACCCAGATGTAGTGGTCAAACGATCGAGCGAACTGGCGCAATAGTGCTACTCTATTGTCTCTAGAAAGCGGGCAGCTCATGCTGGCTCTGGAGCCCAGAATGCTGACGATTGTAGCCTCTCGAGTCCCGTACTTTCGCCACGAAAATTTATGCTGAAGTACACCGACTGGTTTTATACCATATGTATACACTTCTTACACTCCCCTTCCAGCAGCAAGTCATCCGGTCAGACAATGCCAAGTGTAACCGCATATCAAGAGGCACTGGCGAAACCGGATGCTGTGATGTGTCTTCCAACAACATGACCTTGTGTCCTTAAACATCTCCGGTGCAAGCCAACCGCTGGTCGTTAGTGTTCATCTACTCAAATCACCTACATCCTTCGCACCCGTGTTGTGCCAGCGCGAGATACCATCTCAATGTTCAGCTTGGAGTGCGACTGGTAGTTGGGCAGCCGTGGAGCGACCGGGCTTCACGATGTGATTCGTCCATCGTTCTGGGCGTTCTTTCCTGAGAGTGAATCACAGACTCAGCTTTCTCACCCATGGTCTCACTAACATTCGGTCTCCTCACCCCAGTCTCCTTCACAAGTCTGAATAACTGTCAACTGCTACCTATTCCCACTGTTTGTCCAATCCCCTCAGTCGACGACGTCCACTGCCCCCCGCAGTCATCGCATCAGCCCGCCATTCATGTCCTCCAGATGGGAACGTGGCAGATCGTATCAGGAATGCGTGATCTAAGCAAAGGACCCGTGCTGTAAACCCAAGGCAGATGGAATATAACAGCCGATAAGGGGAGGGGTCGGAATGGTCCTCAATTCTAGAATGACCAGCTGGGAGGTCATTGACGAAAGTTCGGGAACCAATATGCACGTGAGAACTCACCCTTCGCACCTGCGTCATCCGGTACCGGGGCAGGCAGTTACACCACCCCTCTGGGGCTTTCAAGGCCGGATCGGACACTACCTCCTCCGTGCCGAACATCGAGAGGAAAAGGTGAATGTGTCTTCCCCATTTGTGAGGACGGCAACTCTCGCCCGACCACAAGGGTTAACATCAGAGTTGGTTTCGAGAACACAGACACTGATTTCAGCAGCACAACTCATGCCCACGCGTCTGCAGGGATTGTTGACCTTTGAGTAGCCAAGACCATTCAGAGTGACTCCTACATTCTTTGAAGGTGTAGCGATCCCCTTCCGAATAAACAGATGACACTCACCTCAACACGTGGTCACACCCCAAAAGAGAAAACTGGAACTATGGTCACCTTCAAACCAATCACCACCAGGGTCAGGTTTCAAAGAAAATAATCCTCTCCCTTCTTCGGCGTAGACACCACACCTAACTGTAGCGAAGCTGCTCACAGCCTAGAGTAATCTTCATACAACTACCCAGTGCTGCATTCAGGGTGCTTTACGGGACTGGCAGCGATTCCGATTGTCAGAACTGAAATGCGGTCAACCCCTGGGACAGGTGATTATGATCAGTAGATATGAGAAGCAGAGCTAGCATTGTGCACCCAGTCTGCATTACACGCTTATGGAAGCGACGTCAGAGGACGGGGCGGTCTGCATTAACCAGTGTCACGCAATATCCGCTCCTTTTCTCTCTTCAAATAAATCACACATTGAGGCAGTATCATTTGCTGTGATACACACAAGTGGAACTGCGATGGCGACATATCCTACCACAGCGGCTAAATTTAATTTTCATACTGATCAAGCGTGAGGTTGTGCAATGTCGCCATGGGAACCTGCTACAAGTTCATAACTAACGCATCACGCTGACCATGACTCCGTCGACTGACACGACTGCTTAGACTAGCCGTCACCAAAAAGCCAACTAGCGAGAGAAGTGTGAAACAGCAGCAGTTGGATCAGCATCAGAAGGTACCAACAGATGTGACAGTTTTCAACTCTATCCCGACAACCAGTGAGTTAGGATACCAAGTCATGGGACGACGAAGCGTTTCACCTTCAACACCAAACTCTTCTCAGTGCGACAGCACGCGGACAAGTGGGAAGGACTAAGTTCAGGCGCTTCGAACACTTGTACAGTGGTTATCACGGTGGATACTACTACTTCGGGCCTGCCCGTCTTCGAGATACTACGATTTCACAGCCCGTCCCACCAACTTGATGTCCTTACTCCGTCTTCCAGTGCAGGGAGATCAAGAGGCAAGTAGAAAGCCCACACGTCCATCTCATCACACACCACTACTCCCACAGATGCAACAGGGAGATGATCAGGTCTGTCTGATGTACTGAGCACTAGCTCGATGACGCTGACATGCAACAGTGGTCATGGAACGTGACATTCATTACCAACCATCTGCGTCACACCACACAAGTGCCTACACAGAACACAGCTGGACCTGTGCCACTAGCTGCCATCCTCCATGTCTCCTGGAAACTTGAAGATCCACCAGACCAACTACTTTTTGATAGCCTGCTTAGCCAGGCATCACATCTTCATTGTCTCAGTACATTCCCAAATTCTGGCCATTTATAAGTCCTTCCGGTAGTAAAAATGGTCACCTTCCACCTCCCCATTGTGAAAATATCTTGCGATTTAGCCAATTTCTTCCACGTCGCTCCCACAACTACCTTGATCATGCCGGGCAACAAACCCGAATTGGTACCCATAGGACCGCCTCGACTTTTGATGATAGGATCCGATTATCAACACCAGATACTACAATGTACCAACTATCGTTAAGTTGTCATGCGAGACGCAATTATTACTCTAGTGCGCCCTCCCTCCAGGTTCTGCAACTTCGGGGTGGCTGCTCAACAACCCATTACTCTTAAAGTAGTCTCCAACCAGGCTAGCACAAATCTCTCATAATACCCACCAGTTATTGGAGCTTCTACCATCCGTGTTGATGCTGCATCACCCAACGCAACTGGCTGTCATCAACTGAGATCTGACTCCACAGCGAATGATCAGAACGGTCAACCAACTAAAGGAACCATTTACATCCAGATGGAACTCACTCGAAATAAACGGCGAGCAGAAATGGCCACCCCTTGCACGTACCACACATTGCCACCGATGCGCCTGCAAACGTGTCGACAGCACTGTAGCCCAGCATGAAGCAACCCACTACGCAGTTTTGAAGCCCAATGTCGCCGTAACTGACGTCTAGCAAACATACTTCACAGCACTGATGTTTGTCACCCCACAGTAATACAACACAACTCATTAGTCCAGCCAGGAAATCAAAAACCACCAAACGAACGTAACGTGAAAAAGTTTATCAAGGAGCATAAATTCAGTGTTTAATGCATTCGCCAGTGGTTGTGGAGAGAAACAGTGATTTCGGGCACTGAGTACTACGACGAAGTCCATCCCATACATCACATTCACGCCTCCACATTGCATCGACTTGCTATATGACCGTAGCCTTGACATTTATAGCACTGGGGACCAGAACCTCCACTCTCCGTGCAATCTCGTGCAATATGACCGTACTTATTACACCTAAATCAAAGTTACAATACATCACAGCGATTCAATACCTGTAGCATTTTGGGCCACCCCCGTCATTTCTTCTGTCATTATTATTTGGGCAGTTTCGAGATATGTGGCCCGACTCACCACAGTTGTAGCAATCACGTCCATTACCACCACCACCACCACCACCATTATAAGAGCCATCACCTTCTCGTCTTCCATTAGTACAATCTCGCGCATAGTGTCCCGTTCCACCACAGTTGAAACATATGTCTACAAGGTACAAACAAATACTTAGGCAAACTCAGTTGCAACACGGGAGTCTCAAAACAATCCACACTAATCACATTAACAACTCTGTTTTAAACATCCACAACTACACACTTCAATATACACGATGTCCAGACGTGCAAAGTATACGGACAATGCCTCAAACTCACCGTGGCCACCACCATAGCCCCCACCGCCATACCCGTATCCACGACCATTAGTGCAGTCCCGAGCAATATGACTCGACCCACCGCAGTTGTAACAGCCGTCTACAAACACAAAAAACTAAGCGTGCGCAACTGAACCTTAGGCTACAAATCTACTACCAACGTCATATTCTAAGCCCTGATTTACCATTTACAAAGTGCTCACGTGTAAATTTAATACTGAATACTAAAAGCACTTTTCACTCACCTCGACGAGGTTCGTTGTAATCACGATCCCGTCCACCTCCGCCTCCACCACGGTAGCCACCACCACCGCCGCCTCCTCTACCACCTCTTTGGGCTGACTGGCAGTCACGAGCAAAGTGACCAGAACGCCCACACTTGAAACAATCACCCGACATTATGAATAGCCCGACAACCGACTGAACCTGCACAACCTCCTAACACTCGACTGACACCTTAACCGTGAACAGGAAACAATCCGACTTACAAGCGAATAAACAACAGTCCGATGTGGCAGCCAACTGAACATTGACCAATTCGCATAATGGAAATGAACAGCTTTCATAGTATGGTTCTTTGGTTGAAATAAGTTAGTTTACTTTTATTCAATGGGCCGGTAGCAGTTTCTGTGCGATGTACTTACCACCAAGGAGGGTACCCAGTATTTTGGACACCTTATAGTTTGTATTCACTTTGTTGGCGTAGCACAAATATCAGGACGTACTCAAGGGAAATACAATGACTAGCAACAATAAGGCGAGGAGTTTCTCGACATTCTTGCTTTCAATTTGAAGTGAGGTGTCTTGTCACTGCTGATGGAGGTGGGTGGGAACAACCCTGTCCAAGAAAAGACAGTGTGCAGACTAGAAAATGGCATTCTAGGTCAGCAAGGTTTGAGACGATTCCTCAGAAACTGTTACAAACTTTTGGAACTGTCTTTTGAGAGCCTTTGATATTGAGAATATATCATGTTCAATTGCCATTTCTTGGTTCAGCTTCGCTTATCACGTACTAGGAATGGACCGGATGGACGGGGATTTGCTAATACGTCCTATAAGATTGCTTTAAATAACCTTATAATCCCCTAATATGATAAGAACTGTCCATAAAACACGTTCGAACAGGTCAGAACCCTCGCTCAAGGATGCGAACCCAGAGTATGAGGGCGAACTGTGAAGGATCGCGGAAAACTGTTTATGATTAACCCAGATGTAGTGGTCAAACGATCGAGCGAACTGGCGCAATAGTGCTACTCTATTGTCTCTAGAAAGCGGGCAGCTCATGCTGGCTCTGGAGCCCAGAATGCTGACGATTGTAGCCTCTCGAGTCCCGTACTTTCGCCACGAAAATTTATGCTGAAGTACACCGACTGGTTTTATACCATATGTATACACTTCTTACACTCCCCTTCCAGCAGCAAGTCATCCGGTCAGACAATGCCAAGTGTAACCGCATATCAAGAGGCACTGGCGAAACCGGATGCTGTGATGTGTCTTCCAACGACATGACCTTGTGTCCTTAAACATCTCCGGTGCAAGCCAACCGCTGGTCGTTAGTGTTCATCTACTCAAATCACCTACATCCTTCGCACCCGTGTTGTGCCAGCGCGAGATACCATCTCAATGTTCAGCTTGGAGTGCGACTGGTAGTTGGGCAGCCGTGGAGCGACCGGGCTTCACGATGTGATTCGTCCATCGTTCTGGGCGTTCTTTCCTGAGAGTGAATCACAGACTCAGCTTTCTCACCCATGGTCTCACTAACATTCGGTCTCCTCACCCCAGTCTCCTTCACAAGTCTGAATAACTGTCAACTGCTACCTATTCCCACTGTTTGTCCAATCCCCTCAGTCGACGACGTCCACTGCCCCCCGCAGTCATCGCATCAGCCCGCCATTCATGTCCTCCAGATGGGAACGTGGCAGATCGTATCAGGAATGCGTGATCTAAGCAAAGGACCCGTGCTGTAAACCCAAGGCAGATGGAATATAACAGCCGATAAGGGGAGGGGTCGGAATGGTCCTCAATTCTAGAATGACCAGCTGGGAGGTCATTGACGAAAGTTCGGGAACCAATATGCACGTGAGAACTCACCCTTCGCACCTGCGTCATCCGGTACCGGGGCAGGCAGTTACACCACCCCTCTGGGGCTTTCAAGGCCGGATCGGACACTACCTCCTCCGTGCCGAACATCGAGAGGAAAAGGTGAATGTGTCTTCCCCATTTGTGAGGACGGCAACTCTCGCCCGACCACAAGGGTTAACATCAGAGTTGGTTTCGAGAACACAGACACTGATTTCAGCAGCACAACTCATGCCCACGCGTCTGCAGGGATTGTTGACCTTTGAGTAGCCAAGACCATTCAGAGTGACTCCTACATTCTTTGAAGGTGTAGCGGTCCCCTTCCGAATAAACAGATGACACTCACCTCAACACGTGGTCACACCCCAAAAGAGAAAACTGGAACTATGGTCACCTTCAAACCAATCACCACCAGGGTCAGGTTTCAAAGAAAATAATCCTCTCCCTTCTTCGGCGTAGACACCACACCTAACTGTAGCGAAGCTGCTCACAGCCTAGAGTAATCTTCATACAACTACCCAGTGCTGCATTCAGGGTGCTTTACGGGACTGGCAGCGATTCCGATTGTCAGAACTGAAATGCGGTCTACTCCTTTTGCATTTGATTTCGATGGGTATTTTCGTTGTCTTAAGTCCGTTTTCGTTGGAATTTTTCGCGTTACATTTTCCTTTCCGTTTTCATTGTCTATGTTTTGATTTTTTTTTTGTTTTTTGTTAGTTTGTATCATTTGTTTCGTCTCCTGTTTCTCATTTAACCTATCTCGTTGCGTTTTTCCTGGGATGTATTTTCTCCTCTTGTTTGATTTTTTCTTCCCTCTTCTTTCTTCTGGTGGTTTATGCCTTCTTCTTTCCTGATTTTACGTACGTTGCCGATAGTTTCTCGATAGTTTATTACTTATTTGCCTTTGATTCTTTTTTCCTGTTTGATTTCGTGATTCACTGGTCAAGGTGTTCTCGCTGTTGGTCATCTCTTTCGAGCGCTTCTTTCGTCTGGCACCGTATTGTACTGCTGGGTGTTTCTTAAAGCTATCCTCTGACTTGGTACGGGTTACCGCGCGGATTTGGGAAAATGCCTGTTTTCTGTTTTCTGTTAGTATTTCTTACCTTTTTCTAAACTATGAAACGCAGTTAATCATTTCGTCCTCCTTCTTCCGGTCTATTTGCTGGACAACAGTTTGCTGTGCTACACGTCTTTATTTGAGAACTTGCAACTGACGTGTTATTTTATTTGTGAAGGAAGACGGTCAAAAATGAAAGGACGGTAACTGGGCCTTTAAATTATTATGACGAAGAATTTAGATTGTAATGCTGACCTGAAGTCAACGTGCCGATCATAGTAAATGAAGTCTAGAAGGAAATCAAGGAACAGCTGTTCTTTTGGCTAAACAAATAGAGTGAACAAGAAAAATTGGTAGATGAATGGAAAATTTTGGCTAGAATGGGGATATTGTTTCTGGAGGGCGTTAAAAGAGGAGTAAAGGGTAAAGGTATATTTTCTGGCCCTAATGAGGAATTAAAGTTGACACTTAAGGGGAAACGATGCGGAGATCAGGTGTAAAATCCGGAAAGTAAATATATATGTTTTCTTTTTCTGCTTTTCACCCCTTCAACGCATTAGGGTTTAAGTGGAGAGCTACTTAAAGTGGGAAAAGTAGACAAAAAAGGGGAAGATTGTAATAGGGGAAAATCGGTTTATTTTCCACACGTATGTCTCCATATTTTACCACTGGGCTTCCCCCCATTATCTATTAATTTCCCCCTTTTTGGTCTGTATGATATTGGATATTTTTCTGTCTTAAAGCAGGTCGGCTCGTGCAAGACAGATGAAAACTGCTTTACCAGGTGGGTGGGGAGACGCACTACATCGAAGATCTAGGCGTGTCCAGCAAGACGTAAAAGCTGGCACAAGAAAATCAGTTGGTTTCACAGGCTTGAAAAGAAGTCGGGTGTTGTAAAGTGAACGTGAAGTACGCTCCCTTTTATTCTGCGGATTAATACATGAAGTTATACTTAGTAGTAGACGGTTCGTCGCTTGTGTATGTCTGGTTAAATGGAGGCAGGTGGACGCAGTCAATGAACTTCTGTTTTTGAAACTCCGTTCAGAAGGAAGTTATGCTGAAACCGTATTTTTGAATGAATTTACGCTAAAGATATGCTCGTGTTTATTACTTTCTCCTGTTGTGTTATAATGGATAGGGAATTTTCTATTAACGATCGAAACCTAGGGAAGTGAAGCCCGAACAAGTCATCGGGAAGTGATGGGATCCACACAAGAGTGCTCTGCTAGCAAGCCTATTCAGATGCTCACTTCCGGTATGCAGGTTTCGCTGTGATTGTAAACGGGTGGATGTCGTCCCGATATATAAAGGTTGAAACAAACTGTTTTCCTCTGAATACAGACGAATCTGCCTAATGTCTTCAGCGGCGTAGACCATGGAGAGGGTAGTAAAGGATTTCCCTCTTGATTACTTATTCAGAAATTGAATCTTAAAGTACCGCCAACATGGCTTTCTGCCCAGCAAGTCTTTTAGCTTCTGATGGCTGGAATCTTCCTGTTCATTACAAGACGCCCACTCACATTATTTTACCTGCCTCAAAGCTTCCATTATTGTTCCATTACTGCTTCCGGCTTTCACCAGTGTTCAACCGGGATCTCTCGACTGCCTTTTACCATTCTTCATCTGCGCTAAAATAATCGTATACTACCACTAATCCTGCCTTTCTGCATGAAGTATGTGATGTGCCCTAAGGTAGACATTCACAGTAAGATGATTATTACGTAGACGTAATTTTATATAACAACGACCGTTAATACATACTCATGCTTGCGGTACTCATGCATAATGTCATTCACCAATTTCCGCCTACAAGTACCAACCCCTTTAGCATGCGCGATGAAATTGAAATACTAAATAGATATAAGTAAATGTATATTTGTAAAGAAGATGTAGTAAAAGGCTCACAGTCGTTTGTATCTAGCCGTATCTTATATGGATAGGCCTCCGTATGTCACCATGCTTGAAGAAAGGTTTCCATCACTAAACTGCAATAGATGCGTTGCATAATCTTTTGCCAGCATAACGTATCGCCGCCAGTAAACAGGAAAGTTCATCTTCTAAGAATTCGTCTGCAGAATTTGTTAATCTTTGCTGCTACGTCTGCGGCATATTCATCTCCGAATCTTTGTAGTATGCGACGGATGTTTGACCGCATATTACGCATTTCACGTATGTACCTACCACATGGTGCTGCGACGGAGATTGCCAATGTGCTACGTAAAGTGTTGGAGATGTGTGACCAATTCCAGCGTTGGTAGCTATAAGAATTAACTATGCAATAAGTAAATACAACATACCTGTAAAACTGGGCTCCTTTAAATGTACCGGAGGCGAGTGTCTACATGGATAACGACAAGCAGGTGCATT